CGGGAGGGTGTGGGCGAGGCGACGGCCTGCGGCCTGTGCAACCCGGGCTCCCCGCCGACCCGCCTCCCCCTGGCCCCGCAGGCCAACGAGTGCATGCGCATCAAGATCCTGGGGGACTGCTACTACTGCGTGTCGGGCCTGCCCGTGTCCCTGCCCACCCACGCCCGCAACTGTGTGAAGATGGGGCTGGACATGTGTGAGGCCATTAAGTAGGTACCGCGGGCAGGTCCGGGGCCCAGGGCCGGTCCCTACGAGTCTCCTCCTGCCTCCTGGGGCGCGGTGGGGCATGCATCGTCCCCATTTTTCAGATGAGGAAACTGAGGCTCGGGGGCAGGTGGCGAGCCTGGATCCCTCAGCCGCCTGTTTTGGGTCCCTCCACTGGGCCTCCGAGTGTCAGGAGCTCAGAGCTGGGGCGTGAGGGCGGGCAGCTGGGCTCCCTTCCCCCGACGGCAGGCTCGGCAGCAGGAGGCGCTCAGGGCCCCATCGGGCCGCGAACGTTCTCCGTGAACTGCGCCTCCCCTGTTCCTACACCCTCCCCCAGGCCACACCCCCGACTGGGACCCCGAGCCTGCCCCCGGGTGAGGTGAGGTGACCCTCCTGCTCTGCCCCAGGCAGGTGCGGGAGGCCACGGGCGTGGACATCAGCATGCGTGTGGGCATACACTCGGGGAACGTGCTGTGTGGTGTCATCGGGCTGCGCAAGTGGCAGTACGACGTGTGGTCCCACGACGTGTCCCTGGCCAACAGGATGGAGGCGGCTGGAGTGCCCGGGTGAGGCCCCCAGGAAGCTCTGAGCTCCTGACACTGGACGGGGGCTGTCGGCGGGGGCAGGACGGACCAGTGAGCTCGCGGGGTGCGGTGTGTGGGAGCCGGCTGGGCTCCGGGCTGCCGGCTCTGGCTGCTGCACCCTTGGGTGGTGCCGGCCCTCTCTGGGCCCTGCTGCGCCCCCTGACTTGGGTCTTTCCCAGGCGGGTGCATATCACAGAGGCCACCCTGAACCACCTGGACAAGGCGTACGAGGTGGAGGATGGGCACGGGCAGCAGCGGGACCCCTACCTGAAGGAGATGAACATCCAAACCTACCTGGTCATCGACCCCCGGGTACGCGGCTCTGGTGCAGCAGAGGGGTGTGGCCGTGGCGGGGGGGCCGCACCCACACCCACACCCGGGGAAGGTGCCCTGGAGGGAGAGCGGCGGGAGGCCTGCTGGGGTGGGAGTGAGCTCCCCGTCACTGGGTATGGTCCAGGCCCCAAGTAACACCTTCCTTGGGCCTCAGCGTCCTTCTCCATGAAATGGGAATAACCAGGGCCCACCCGCCCCCTGGGGAGAACCCCGGGCGCATTGCGAACACCCGGGAAATCAGCCACTAGGCGTTTACTTTCCCTGCGGCCGGCACTAATCGCCCGGATTTCCAAAAGGCACGTTTGGAAGCCACGCTTTGGATGAGGCTCAGGAAAGTGCTCAGGTGCAGGGCGCCTGCGAGGAGTCCGCCCCGCACCCATGTGGTGGCCTCTTCCAAGTGAGCCAGGACTGTAGGAGCCGGTCAGGCTCCCCGGGGTTCACATAGGAGCCGCTCTGTGAGGCTGGCCAGGAGAGAGCACACTGCCTTCCTGGCTTCCGTGCAGCGCCACTGTGTTGCTCAGAGGTCCACGCTGTGCCCCATCCCGTGGCGTCTGGCCACACTCACTGCATCTCCGTGTGGGGACTTGGGCACTG